ATTTTTTAGCATTATTATTATAAAGGAATCTTCATTTAAGTTTTTAGACATGGTCTTACTGTTTATCTCTGGCTTAGCTTGGTTGTAGACCATGCTGGCCATTCTTAGATTCTCCTGACCTGCCTCCACAGTACAGGTATTAAAGGGAGATGCCACTACTCCTGTCGTTCATTTAATTTTAAGACACTATAATTTGTAATTGGATTTTTAACTGCCCAGGTCAAGGGGTAGTAAGGCTTAGCTGAGACTTATATTGGCTCTGGTTGTCCAGTTCAGGTTTTCTTCTTCATTTGTTTTCCCTCGGGAGTGGAGAGGACCCTGAAATAACTATTCCATGACTTCTCAGCAGAGATCAAGTTCTAAATATTTCAGCTTATTCAAAATAATTTTCTCACCGCTGGAGAGATGGCTCAGCGGTTAAGAGCAGTGGTTGCTCTTCCCGGGGTTCAAAGTTCAATCCCTGGCAACTACATGGAGACTCACAACCAACGGATGCCCTCTTCTGGTATGCAGGTGTACATGCAGATAGGGCACTCATATGTAAAATACATAAATCATTTTTTAAAAAAGTTTTCTCTTGGTGCTGGAGAGATGGCTCAGCAGTTAAGAGCACTGACCGCTCTTCCAGGTGTTCTGAGTTCAATTCCTGGCAACCACATGGTGGCTCACAACCATCTGTAATGGGATCCGATGCCCTCTTCTGGTGTGTCTGAAGACAGCTACAGTGTACTCATACACATAAGATAAATAAATAATTCTTTTAAAAATATTATTTTCTCTTTACTCTTGACACTACGGCAAAGGTCCAATGCTTAAAAGGAATGTTAGTTTTTCTTTTCTCCACTGGTAACATTTCTCTTTGATCATTTAGCAAGTACCTATATTTCTGATATTTGCCAACACTTAAGTAATTTTCAATTTTTAGTTATTTTTACCCTTAGATATAGTAAGTTAATTTATATTGGGTTGGCGAGCTAGGGAGAGTCAAATCTAGTTATCAGCCGGGCGGTGGTGGCACACGCCTTTAATCCCAGCACTTGGGAGGCAGAGACAGGCGGATTTCTGAGTTCGAGAGTTCGAGGCTAGCCTGGTCTACAGAGTGAGTTCCAGGACAGCCAGGGCTACTCAGAGAAACCCTGTCTCGAAAAACCAAAAAAAAAAAAAAAAAATCTAGTTATCAACTGCTTTTAAAGTCTTAAGCACTTAAAGTAATTATATGTGCATATGTATGTGTACAACTGTAAAATTCAGAGGACATCTTGGAGAAACCAGTTTTGTCCTGCCATCACATAGGTCTGAGGACTGAACTCAGGCTGTCAGGCTCAACAGCAAACGTCTTTACCCACTGAGCCTGGTTTTCACATTTTTTTTATTTCTCTCTGTGTGTATGTGTGTTCACATGTGCATGCAGGTGCTGGCAGAGGGCAAAAGAGGGCATCAGATCGTCTGGAGCTGGAAGAGTAAGCAGTCCAACCCTGTCGCTGGGAATTTAACTCAGGTGCTTTGCAAGAGCAACAAAGGCTCCTAACCACTGAACTATCCTCCCAGCTCTCATCAAACGTTTTCTACAGTATATGGGTCCACAGAGCCTACAACAGTCATTATTTTAAATAAGTCTGTGTGGCCCTGGTTGACACTATCCTAGGATCCAATATAACAACGAGTGTGTTTCTTTATGGCCCTGGCTGTCCTGGAACTAGCTCTGTAGACTAGGCTGGCCTCAAACTCATAGAGATCCGTCTGCCTCTGCCTCCTGAAAAGTATTCTAATGGGCAGATCCCAGGTGGTATTTGGAAGTAAGTCACACTAAGAAGCTTAACATACCTGCCCATTTTAAAAGGCTGCTTTAATTGTACACAAAGTATATCGTGTCCAGTGGGTCGCAAGCAAACTTAACTATTGTGGCTGAAGGGTTACCAATGTCCCCTCCCTGTCAGACTTTAGAAGGGTAGGTGAACATAAAGGCTTTGAATAGAACAGGGGACAGGCCTGCCATCCTGTAGATCTGAGAGGCAGCCAGGAGTCAGACCCATGTAATGGGGCTCTAGAGACTGTCTTCTGTCTCCCCTGCATCTTTGGTCTCTTCCTCCTCTGCCCGGGACAATGGATTTGAATTGCAGCTTGTTCTTATAACTAGTTTTGTCATTTTGGGCTTCCACAAACACAAACTTTCTGAATTGACTGACTGAAAGCTATTTCCAAAAGTCCCACTAGCTGAATGTATCATTTTACCTCCAAAATGTTTGTCTTAGCATTTTATAACCTGTGTAGCAGTTTTGAACTGGGGATGTTCCAGGATCCATAGACTACCTCCTTATTATTCATCTCATCTTTCACTCCTTAGGTTGTTTCTCTTGGCCCTCTTCATCCTGCTTTGTGGCACCACCACCCCCTACCACCTCCCCCCTCAGTCTTTCTTGCCTATGCTTGGAATCCTTTTGGTGAATTCTGTTAGGTGACAGCCCCTAGCTACATCACTTCTGTGCCTCAATTTCCTGGGGTATAAAATGGATGTGATCAGAATACGTATCTCACAAAAGCAAGACTAAACTGCTTAGAGGGTACCTGGGCTATAGCAAGCTCTGTTTAGCTTAGGTGTAACTCCAGTGTGGTTTGAAACACGTTGTTTCTGCAGTTGGCGTACTTGGAATGAAGTATCTTTGATAAGAGGTGACTTGGGGAAAAGAAGAGTCATTGTCTAGAGCAGCCTTTTAATGTTGTGACCCTTTAATACAGTTCTTCATGTGGTGGGGACCCTCAGTCATAAAACCATTTTTATTGCTACTCCATCACTGTAATTTTGCTATTGTTATGAATCATAAAGTACATAGCTGCATTTTCTGATGATCTCTGGAGACCCCTGTAAAAGGGTTGTTCAACCCCCATGACCCATGAGTTGAGAACTGCTAGTCTGGAATAACAAACAACAACCAGGACACAGGTAATGAGACTTCTCAACATACTTCAAGAACTTTCATACTATTGTAGGGTATTAGGACTCCAGAATCAACACCTCCTCGGATTCTTCCTGTTTGATACTGAACTACCCTATCATTCACCATACAGGATGCTAGTGCTCAGTAGTCTGCCAATGCAGACAGGCAGCCTGTGAAATTAGTCAGGATCATCTATCTTTATTCTTATTCTTAATTTTTAATGTAGGAGTGCTGTCTGCATATACACCTACATGCCAGAAGAGGGCATCAGATCCCTTTGTAGATGGTTGTGAGCCGCCATGTGGTTGCTGGGAATTAAACTCAGGTCCTCTGGAAGAACAGCCAGTGTTCTTTACTGCTGAGCCATCTCACTGGCCCCAACCAGGATCCTCTTTAAAGTAAACTCACGAGGGGCTGGAGAGATGATGCAGTCGGCTCAGCAGTTGCTGGTTCCTCACGCAGAGGGCAGGAGTTGGGTTTTCAGCACCCATATCGGGCAGCTCGCAATTGACTGTAGCTCCAGATCTAGGATATCGGGTCCTCTCGCAGGCTTCCAAGGATAGTTGCACATACATGTTCACACAGGTACAAATACACAAATAAATTAACATTTTAAAAGTTTTTAAATAAAGCAAGCTAGCATTTGTGATAGCGCCTGGGAGTTAAGGTATTTTACAAGTCAAAATTCTAGTTTCTATGAAAAAAAAAAAAAAAACTTGTCAGTATTGAAAGAACATACTACATCTCAGTTACTTTTGCTGTCTGTGTTTCTAGGTAGCCTCTGGACTCTGTGGTTCTCAGTGGGGACAGTACTGACTTCTCTTGTAGTAAGTAGGGAAATTCTTTTTCAATATGTGGAGCCTGTATCAAAGAATCATTATTATGAGGTAGGACATACTTAAGGAAATCTTGATAGCGTTAAGTGCACAAGAAACGCTTCTTCCATCACCTATGTGGATTTTCTAGAATGCACATAGCCTTCAAGTACATAATTGAATATTCATAAGGAAGAAAACTTCTAGAACTTAAGTTTGTTACACACATACCCTTTTAAAACAAACAAACAAACAAACAAAAATTATACTTTCCTCAACTCTCCTATGGAATTTGGCTACTGTCATTCTAAAGTTATAGAAGTTGTTTGCAATATGTAATCTACGTCTTAGGGCTTAGTTCTTTGGAAGGAAAGACACTGTCTTCTATTATTAGTGACAATCTAACTGGAGATTCTTTGGAGGATGCAGACTGCTGTCCTGGTGACTAGCACAGAGCCGAATTTAAGCCCATCTTTTAAATAAGAGCATGTGACCAGTTACTGTCCCGAAAAGACCTTCAAAGGAGGAAGACATACACAATTCAAAGCAGCTTCATATTCTGAGCACTAATACCCTGGTCTTCCAACTGCATCGCACCATAACCAATTCGAGGATTCTCTAACGTGTGGCCCGTGTACACACCCAATCATTTGTGGGTTTGTCTAACCCCTGTATTGTTTTAAATAATTTCCACCTCCACCTCTGCTATCCTAGACGAGACTTGGCAATCTCATTCAGTGGCTAAAATAAGGTTTGGCTTCCCAGAACTAAGTGAGATAAATTGGAATGACCATGCACACTAGATACTAAGAAAGTCTGCCAAAAGCTGGGCGATGTTGGCACATGCCTTTAATCCCAGCACTTGGGAGGCAGAGGCAGGCGGATTTCTGAGTTAGAGGCCAGCCTGGTCTACAGAGTGAGTTCCAGGACAGCCAGGACTACACAGAGAAACCCTGTCTCGAAAAACAAAACAAAACAAAAAAAACAGAAAGTCTGCCAAATAAATGTATCATCTTTCACACAGTATATGTTCGCTTTGAAAACCAATCTGGCTGGAGATGGCTCAGTGTTTAGGAGCGGAGACTGGTCTTGCAGAGGACCATGGTTTGTTCCTACCAACCACTCTATCAAGGATCAAGTCCTTCTGGCCTACATGGACACTGCATTCACTTGTACAGCAACACTCCCCAACTTAAGACTGACTGACACCTTTATCGTACATGGAATATAAATACAGTAAACCTTTACATGAGTATGCAACCAAATTTTTATTTGGGTTTTATTGCAATCTACTTTTGGCGATAAGGGAAAGGTGACCATAAGAACTCATCAGATTTTATTCAACCAAGCAGTTTTTCATGAATGCTTAGGGTCAGTGTACAGTCAGCTCAGCTTCCAGCATCTATTTGAGTCCTTGTCATGGATACCGATGCCAGAATGGTAAGAGTAAGGCATTGCAAGATGCTACGCAGTCCAAGATGAAACCACATTTTACACATTGCAACTGTAGGATAGTAAAGTATACTAGTACTCACAATAAATAAAAATTTAAAAGTGTTGCTTAGCCCTTGTTGAACAAAATTCCATTATTAGCTTATTCTTTAAGTACTCCAGTTAATAAAGGCTTGATTGTACTTCAAGGACTCTGACTTTTCCAAAGATTAAAAACTAGTTATTACTTGTTACATCAAAAACAAAGCTTTCAAGTACACCCACACTTGTCCTTAAAGCATGTTTACATCATATGTAACTTTTTACACCTGACAACATGGCTGATACGGCAGAGCAGGCCCACACTAGGACGACTACAGGGCGGTCCTCCCACCCCCACGCCCTCCACAAAGCCACACTCGGCCTCGGTGTAACAGGTCTGTTTTATTGCCATGCTACAGGACGTCTGACATTGGCACTGACGGGGGAGCAAGAACAAGGACAGGGGGCCAGAGGGCCAGCGACGCCGTTACACACACAAGGTTTTATTGTAATAACAGTGGTTACGTCTGCCAATGCAAAATTAACCTGCTGATATGAAACAGCATTAAAACACAATTTATGCATAGTACAGTATCACATCTTTCATTAGAGAAATATGGAATGTTTAGAAAAGAAATTAACCATAGGGGAAAATTCATATCTCATGTACAATTTGGCAATGGTAGTCCCACTGTAGACAACTTTTATAAAAGAAAAATTAAAATCTAATAAGCTACCTTTATACAACATTGCTATATTTATGCCTTTATGTAGGAAAAAAACACTTATAATGCAAATTAGAACATACAATAATCTTACATTATTATACAATATAATGAAAATAGAAACATAACACAAAGTCTGTCCTTTATAAAACATCTATTTTGCGTTTACTAATTAATGTGAATGCGGCACCCTGGTGACTACTGTACTATCTATCTATACCAGCCTGTTTCCACGTTGTCATTGTCCAACTGCCAGAGAACTGCAATGGTAGGATGCTATGAAAGAATTGTGTTACACCCTGGAAATCGAGGACACAGGGACAGGAAGCGGGCAGCAAGACGGCAGGGTGCTGGTCTGCGCAGAGCGCACTGATGGGGAAGGGTTTCAGGTTAACTCTTCAAGCCAAAACGTTTTCCACACATGCTGTAATTCTGTACCAAAGCCTTGATGCAAATTTGGCAAACATTAAGGAAAAGTAAATAGTACCATATACTTCACATCAGAAATATGAATGAGATGCCAATACATTACTTCTGAATGATGTCTCTAAAGAATATACATATATATATTTATACATACACACTACACATTGCACAAACACTTGGGTCTTGTGGGTAGAAAACAGCACAGGGGAACAGGGACGCACTTGTTAGCTTGTTAAACCTCTGCCTTGAGGCAAATACATGGTGGCACATTGCTGGGGAATTACGAAAATTTAAGGCCCCTGTCCCATTTTTAATAGAACTTTAGTGAGGTACATCTTTATATGCTGTGCCACAGATTTGGGGTGGGTGCAGTGGGGAGCATAAACAAACACCAGTTTGACTTATAACATAGTATGAGGAGGGGCTGGGGGAGGCAACATTAATATCTGTAATGACAAAGACTGATTGGCAGTTTCTGAAGTCCGAAATGTGATCTATTCTGGATATACTGAGAAGTGAAAAGCTTTTTGCTGAATCTTCAAGAGTAAAGTGCATGTCTCATCACTCACAGCAGCGGGGGATACAGGAACAATTTGCAAACCTTCTTGGAAGGAGGGAAGGAAGGCACCATATTCTCACTTTTCAAAGGAAGATGAAACTGGGGAACACAACCTTCAGAAAACACTAGTGATACTCTTGTCAGTCTCCAGCCCTGGTCTGGAAAAAACATGTTAGGATCTATACGGACTGAAAACGGATTTAATGTGGGGGAGAACAAAGGAGCAAGGGTTATATTTCCAAACCCAAAAAGTGGGGTCACATGGTCTGATCAACACACCCAATTACCTAAAATTAGGTTTGCTTCAGAAAATCTGAGACATATGGCTTCAAATATATGCCAATAAAGTATCTCACTCTAAAATTCACCCAACAGTAACAGGCACATTCTTCCAGGACAAAGCTTAATGCCCATCAGGAGACAACTGGAAAGGACACAGGCGCTCTATGTGACTGACTAAACAGAAACAAAAGTGGTTTCCAGAAGACGTCTACAAGTTAACACACCTGTTTACCTCGTCCTAGTATTCATATTGTACCCCAAAATCAAATGCTTAGCACACACACTGGTCCCGTTTGCATTCTTAAGCCATGTACTACTTAAAGCAATAGCTGTCATGATGATATTAGTCAGCTAAAAAATATAAAATCTAATTCAAATCTGAAGGGAAAAGTAAAGTGTACAAGGGAAGAACAAAGCCCTCAGCCTGCAGATGACCGAGCAGACCTGCCCTCTGAGGTGGAGACTTACTTCTGTCCGGACTGCTCAGACATTCCAAGGAAATGAGGGTTCTTCCCATCAGCATCCTTACCCCACCTCACAAAAACCACCACTGAAATTTGGCACAATTATTAGCAAGGTACTCAGAAGAAAGGACAAATGGAATAGTGTATTAGGCATGGAAACTGCACATGTTGAAGAGAACAGCGAACATTTTAGTTCACAGAGGGACAAGGAAAAGGGAACGTCTGCTAAGCTCTAAACCAATGGCACTGAAGATGAGCACACACAATGACTTACGTATCATGGCCCCACGCTACTGTTCTGCTAATCCAGTCCCTGTTAGTCACAGCTGGAATATCCAGATCATAATACGAAACTTCCTCAACTTTAGAATAAAAAAGTAAACTATTTTGTAAGGCTGCCTGTCCTTTCACTCTTCCCTTCTCTTTATTACACAGTGGCTTGGGAGCATTCTTGACTTCCAAGAGTTCAACATCTGGGATCTCATCAGTTTATATAAACTTTATTCACTTCACATCCTCAGTTATGACATAATCGCACTGCTTCAGAGCTCCCCTGTACCTGCTATGCTGGCAACAATGTCAACAGCTCACCAACATCACGGGATAAGGGCCCAGCTCCACGTCAGCTGACAGCAGAGCTGGCAGAGCGGGCAAAGCGGGCCTGTAGCCGTGGAGCTGAGACAACCCCTGCTAAAGTGCTGCACAGGGCACCCAGAGAAGACAGGACCTTCGGAGACTCACATATTTAAGAATATCTTCCTTTTCTTCTTAGCTACTAAAGAGATCACCCTGAACACAAATGAAATTTAAAATCCAAACTATGCTTTTTTCATCATCTTGAAAAGTAAACAGCAGATAAATAAATACTGGACAAGGGCAGCCCTGTTAGAGAATAACTGTCAGTTCCAAAAGGACCTTCAAGACCATAACGAGAAAAATGCAGACTAAGTAGAAACAGCAAACACACAATCCCATTCAAAACGATACACAAACATTGTATTGTAAATTGAAAAAGATATTACATAACAAGGTAAGACAACCCAAAGATCAAAGGGGTGAAAACCTGAAGCTACTGGGGATTCAATGTTACAAATGTCTCCAGAAACAGTGTGCTGTTGGTATCATCTATCACAAAGACACACCAAGAGATCATGGTGGAGACTTTCAAACGTTTTCGGGTAAAGTGACCTGAGACTGATTCCTAAACCCATCATAACTCTTGAATAAGATGCTATCTGGACACGTCCTTCAAATGACACCGGGAGGTGAGGACACAGAGCTGTCTCCTGTCTGCTTTCCAATACACAACTATTGTTACAAGACTGGACTCTTTCTAGTACACCGAAGACAGAGGAGCTGACTAGTACAAAAGGAAGTGTGGTTCTCTTTGTTTCTTTTACACAAATTTGGCCCAAGTCAAAAAGCCTTGAACTAACAAAATAAAATCCTCACATTCCATGCTGGAGACCGTACCCTGTGACCAGTCATCTATGAGGATTCCTCTCAGGGCCTAGAGTTAGGTTAGCAATGCACATTATCAAGAGACTTTAGAAAAGGTTCAAATGCCAGCCACACCTTAGACATGAAGGAGATGCATACCCCCAGAACACTGAGTACAGACCAGGCGGCAGCACGTCCTTTACTGCAGTTCTCATGTTAAATAGGCACTGTGAGAATGGGAGGCTGCTGCTGCACTGTGACTGTCACGAGACTAGTGTTCTTCACGGAGTACCTGCTCTGTATTAACTCCCTTTAAAGATGCACAGGAAATACTCAGGGAAAAAAAGGAGAATCTATAAAAGGACTTAGTGTAGAAATGAAAACGAAGCATTCATCTTCACTCTGAAAACCTTCACGAAGGTGCGAGCGAGGACGCAATGCTTCCGGGCTCACATGGGCAGGTCAGTACTATTGTGTCTGGTCTTCCTAGAGGTACCGTCGTCTCTCGGCAGTGCTTTCTGCAAGTTGGACATAGCAGCAGTTCTCTCAATGTCTATGACAGCGTACAGCTCTGTGCGCCGGGTGGGGGTTTGTGGGAGGGGAGTGGTTGGCGTTTTTGGAGTCTGAGGGTTGTCAGAGTCACTGCCCCCTTCCAAATCCACCTGTATATAATTGAGTTGCCTATGTTCTAAACTGGGGCGCCTGATATCAAAGTTAAAGACTGTTGGTGTACAATCCCTACGCCTTGAATAGTCTATTTTGTGAGCACTTGCCGGCACTGTTACATTCTCTGTATTAACATAGTTATGCATTGGATCTAGATTATTATGGTAGCCATTTAGAGATGGGGTCTTTGGTCCTAAGTTGTCATCTTCATCCCTACTGAGCTTGCGGGCTTCCCAAACAGGAGACAAAGATGGTAAATTTTCATAGTTTAATAGTGCAGGTCTTCTCTGCGCTGAGTTGTTGATATTCTGGGTGTCTGAGGGGCTGGTAGATGTCAGACGACCTCTCCTGACCCCTGAGGCACCAGGGATAGATAGCCCATTTATATTTTCATACACCAGTTTGTTAACAGGGGGCACGTCTCTGCGTTCATCGCTGTCGTAGCCAGTGTCCCACTCCGTGCTACTCGCACCACTCCCACTGACTGGGTCTTTTCCAAGTTGCTCCAGTCTCTCCTTTTCCATCAACTGCTTCTGAACAGGAGTTGGTCCTAACACAAACTTGACCCCCTCAGGCTTAAGAAGCACTTGAGGGTCCCTGTCTTCAGTGTTACTCGGCTCTTCCTTCGGTGTGTTGCTTTCAGCATTAGAAACCCTTGCCTCTGCGGGAACATGCACACTTGCTCGGTTTCTCCGCTCTTCTTGCACACCTGTAGTGTTAACGTAAGTATGTACCTAAAAAGAAACAGAGCAAATCAGTCAAGTGTAAAGCACAAAACAAAATCAGGCTGACTAATCAGGGAGCTAGAGAGGCGGCTCAGTGTAAAGAACACTGGCTACCTTCCAGAGGACCCAAAAGAGTTCACAATTCTTAGCATCCACATGGCAGCTCACAACTTTCTGTAACTCCAGTGCCCTCTTCTGGCCTCTACAGGCACTGCACACATAAACAAGGTCAAAACACCCACACACATAAAACGTTTAAAAAGATACCGGTCACATCAATTCATCCTATTTATCTATTGAAACAGGGTCTTATGATGTAGCCCAGGCTAGCATCGAACTAGACTCAATAGCCTCTACTTGCCAAATGTTAGAATTATTGGTTTGTGCCACCATTCCTGGCTTACATGTCAATTTTATTATTTCCTCTTTAAATGTACTGTTACCTTAAAACGTTTGCACCTATCTTTTTTTATCTAATCAAAAGATTAGAGGTAGGGAAAGTATGCAGAAATCTCTTGTTATAAAAAGAATAACTACTTTAAAATAACATGCAGCATTATATTGAAATAGTATTGTATTCGTCGGGAAGTCAGCTGACCATGGTGACACATACCTATAATCCTGCAGAGGCAGGAAGGTAGACAAGTTTGAGGCTGTCACAGGCTATACAAAAGGACCCTGCCCACCACCGAAAGAAAGAAAGAAAAGAAAGAAAGAAAGAAAGAAAGAAAGAAAGAAAGAAAGAAAGAAAGAAAGAAAGAGGGAT